TTGGGTTGAATAGACCATAGATCACCCCCCTATCATACTATTATATAAACCAGAGTTTGTTTGTCTGACCGCTCCCCAAAAATTCGCAAGTGTCCCCCACATGTTTATAATTCTTCCTTCAAAAATCACCTAGGGAGGGCGGGTCAAGTTTGGAATGGGTAGAGTATGAGTCGCTCTCTAAGGGGAATATATTGGCCATGCTGAACTCCGCCTCCAGTGGGCGGGGCGTGCGTCGAAATGAAAAAATTTGGTGAAAAAATTGCAGTTTTTGGCTTCAGAACAGTCTAAAGACAGGGAAAAAATAAGGCCTTAATAGGGCACTTACCGCTCTATAAGGGGAACATATTGGCCATGCTAAACTCCACCCCCAGTGGGCGGGGCGTGCGTCAAAAATCGAAATTTCGTTGAAAAAATTGAAATTTTTGCTCTCTGGACATCCCAAAGGTCATGAAAAATAAGGCCTAAATAAGGCACACACCGCTCTATTAAATGAATGTATTGGCCATAAGAAACTCCGCCTCCTGTGGGCGGGGCGTGCGCTTTAAGTAAAAATTTTTCGTGAAAAAATAGCCGTTTTTCGTCCAAAAACATCCAAAAAACCAGGTAATGGGGGTTGAATAGACCATAGATCACCCCCCTATCATACTATTATATAAACCAGAGTTTGTTTGTCTGACCGCTCCCCAAAAATTCGCAAGTGTCCCCCACATGTTTATAATTCTTCCTTCAAAAATCACCTAGGGAGGGCGGGTCAAGTTTGGAATGGGTAGAGTATGAGTCGCTCTCTAAGGGAATATATTGGCCATGCTAAACTCCGCCTCCAGTGGGCGGGGCGTGCGTCGAAATGAAAAAATTTGGTGAAAAAATTGCAGTTTTTGGCTTCAGAACAGTCTAAAGACAGGGAAAAAATAAGGCCTTAATAGGGCACTTACCGCTCTATAAGGGGAACATATTGGCCATGCTAAACTCCACCCCCAGTGGGCGGGGCGTGCGTCAAAAATCGAAATTTCGTTGAAAAAATTGAAATTTTTGCTCTCTGGACATCCCAAAGGTCATGAAAAATAAGGCCTAAATAAGGCACACACCGCTCTATTAAATGAATGTATTGGCCATAAGAAACTCCGCCTCCTGTGGGCGGGGCGTGCGCTTGAAGTAAAAATTTTCGTGAAAAAATAGCCGTTTTTCGTCCAAAAACATCCAAAAAACCAGGAAATGGTTGGTTGAATAGACCATAGATCACCCCCCTATCATACTATTATATAAACCAGAGTTTGTTTGTCTGACCGCTCCCCAAAAATTCGCAAGTGTCCCCCACATGTTTATAATTCTTCCTTCAAAAATCACCTAGGGAGGGCGGGTCAAGTTTGGAAATGGGTAGAGTATGAGCAAATGAGGCAGAGCAGAATTACAAAGACTTGACATATCCCATTCCCCGACGTCATCTTCAAGGTTCACGGTTTATATAGTACTTGATTCTGAGACCACTCGACCCACTTCAGTTCCACTCCATTTCCTCTCCATAACCCCAGACCATCGGCGAGGGGGGGCAAATACCTCTGATGAAACGGGAAAATCCTCGAATTTGAAACTTTCACGCTTGATAACTTCTTTCGCCACAAATCATCAAAAACTGGGATGGCGGTATTAAACAGCCTTGAAACGAGAAAAACAATCAATTGTCTTAACTTCTCCCACTTTTCCACCCTCTTTCTCCTCCCTTTCACGTTATACCTAGACCCCCAATACCCAGAACACTCCCATCAGCAACACTTCTGCCATGTTCCAGATACCCAAATACATGAAAGTAAGACAACCCGAGAATGCCTACAAACTCTCCAACATTCTTACCTGAATTGAGGATGCCTGACAAAAAATCCGTGACTTCATCATCATATGCACAATGCAAAAGTAGAAGTGGCAGGACATGAACTATTTATTCTGGGCATGAAATACCCTTCAATTGGCTAAGCATCGCTCAGCTGGCGGGGTGTAGATGGGTGTAATCGGGGTATCCCTCTGCATTTATAACTCTTTTCTGAAACGGTTCGAAAAGCCGAAAAAGTATTTCGGGAGCTCGGGATTTGATTGCCATAAGTGTTGTTGTTGAAAACTTCTGAGCTATCAACAGATACGGATTATATATACATAGGTTTTCCCCTAGGGGGTCGGAATTGGTCACCTCTCACACTATTCACTGGGTGAGGTCGCAGCAACCAAAATTCTATACGGTCATGTATGATTGCATATGTATTGCGCAACTCGGGTCAGTATCATCCCCCACAAGTCATCTACTCACCGCAGCCGTCTCTCGCGCTCGGACCCCCCTTTTCCGCCTCGGTATCGGGCGGGGGCCAACCTGGTATACAAATAATATAGGAATACAAGCATAGCAAATAGGCCCTTTCTTAATAATTTTGGTTGGGAAGACAAAGAAAATTTAAAGACAAATCTGCGTCCCCTTGGGGGGGGGGGACAGCATCCGGTTCATGATATGCAGCTGCTTTGAAAGGTTCTTGGCCTAAATATTTTAACGAAATCACGTAGCTGCGAATAATCTCCTGTAATTCCACCACAATGCCAATAAGAGTTTGACGTTTCGTACTTCTGCCCACAACTTTTGTACGAAATTTTTATATAATTTATATTTTTATCGTATGAAATTACTGTTGATTTCATTGTTCTTCTTCGTCCTCATATTGTTAGCGTTTTACCCAAGTGGTAGGGACAGGTTCGCTTTCTGGTATGCTTACGCCCCTTTCCCGATTGGGGGCCTGGTCGAGATCAAGGCCACCTAATTTCAGGCCCCCCCCCCCAACGGATAGCCAGCGTTGCTTCCGGAGTCATCTTGAGCGCTTTCCGACCACGTTGGATTCCAGACCGATCTCACGAACGCTGTCGTTCGTTCGAAGGCGAGCGAGACTTGAATTTGATAAAAAATTGGAACTGCTTTTGAACTAAAAAACTTTTTACTGCACGCTCAATTATAGCATAGGTGTACTAAATTACAGCATAGCACAACGCTGGACAAATCACCTGGTGACCCCACGCATTTTTTCAATTTTTTCTTTTGTTTTTTTTTCATTTTTCTTTGTGAAATTGTCTCGCACTGCTTTCCATAATCGTCAACTATGAACAGCACCGAGGCAACTCCTCTGCGATGATACACACTAAATATCTTAGTGAGTGATAACCGTCGAGGAAGATTGTTTACTTTGATCACTCACAGTGGGTAGCCATTCACTTCACTCGTGCTCCCTGCTGCATGTTGGTTGAACAAATATCCCGTATCTTTCACATTAGAGAAGATGGACTACGTTTGTTCATATGCGTGCTAGCAGGTGAGTTCCAGAGCATAAAACGCTCTCATTAGTTGCTGAAGTCAAAGGGCTCACTCAATTGCCATCAGGTCTAGGGAAACGTACCCTCGAGCTGTCTGCTTGTTCGCGCTCTTTTGAGTGTTCCTAATGATGAATCGAGCAAGAGTTACAAGTTTAACAAGCTGTTCAAAGTTGATCAGCCTAGTTGTTATCTGCAATTTAAGCCCTGGTCTGGCCAGGCGATACTGCTTTCTTGACTTTCTATAGGGCGATTGGGCGAGAAGAAAATGATATGTATCGATTAGGCGATTAGGCGATCAGGCGACAAGGCGATAGCTCAGTGGGCAGCGCGGATGAAACGGATACATTCCTGGTCGCCTAATCGCCTACTCCCCTACCTCTATTTGCCTGATACACCGCATCGCCTAATTGTCCTTAGCTTCAATCGTCAACTATGAAGGTTGTCGGCGCTCATGGCATTAGGGGTGGCATTAAAAAGAGGGCATTTAAAAATCGCTAGTCAGTATCATTGGAATTCAGCTCCTCGCTTTCTCCACCAGAATCTCCCCCTCCCTAAAGCTTAGCCCTAAGTTCTGTAGGTAGCTCACTCAAAGTCCCTCTAATGGAGCGCGGATGCCTGAACGAGCAAAGTGTCCAGTAGTCATGGCCAGCAGCGATCTTGAAAAGTTGGATCGGATACGGTGACTATGTGCACTAGACCTTGCACCGCGGCGAACCACAATCGAGAATTCTTCCGACAAGGGGTTACATCGAAGATTTTGTGAGGATTGTAGGCTGCGTATTTGGAAACCTTCAGGGAAATGTAATAGTGAAATGTCACACCTTTCCCCTGCCCCACCCTCGGCTCCTTCGCTACGCATTCATGGGCTGGCGAAGTCGCGTTGACCGAATCTCACCGAATAAATTTCCTCGACCATACCCTCATCCTTAGCAGCGCTCCTCCAGGGACTGGAATCAGTCCACGATGTGTAGAGACGCAGAAGTTAGCTGCCGATTCGTGTTGTTGATGGGCTACCCCAAAGGATAGTAAAGAATGGGCTCGATCCGGCTTGAAGCTGTGTCAATGAGTCATACTGCCAGGTCCTTTACTTTGTCACTTTCGCCTACCTAGCAGTCGGAGGCTTCTCATCATCAATTTTTTGAGGATATCCACTCGCCTACCTTCATCGCACAGTCATTTATCAGAAGTCACCACAGGAACAGCATGCTTTCTTTGTGGTTGTCGGTTTTGTATTACATTATTTTTTTTCTGGTGAGTGACGCTCTTAGAGGCGGATTTTACAAGTAAAAGGTAGTTTATTGAAAATAAGGGTAGAGGTGGTCAGTGGAGCAGGGATGAAGAAGAAACCATGAGAAACGGCCCGACCCAGAACCCGAGAAATGGGACCCCTTCCTTGCCCGTTGATTTCCGCATTGATGCGACTCTCATCGTTGTGCCCTCTTCAGCGCTAACGCTCTGACTGCTGTTCAAAGATAGTCGGTGGGCATTTCGGGCCACTACGACCGCGAAGAAGGTTCATGCTAGATCGCCGGGGGCATACCCATCGATGGCAATTGCGTGTTGGTCTGCAACCTTGAGGGAGGGATCCGCCTGTCCCTT